AGCACCCCAAAGTGTGCTAGGGCTTTACAAACCAAATAGAAAGTCATGGTCCCTGCCCTGTAGATCTTACAGTATAATTATGGATGGGATGAAATGAGGGAGGGTACAAAGAATAAGGACCGAGTAGAATGAGGAAGAACAAGGTTTAAAACAATAAGATTACTCAATTTAGGAATGCTTCCCTCTTATGGCTCAATAAAGAGGTTTTAATTAATAATTATTGACACACTTCTTGTCCCAGCAGAGAATTGAGATTTACAGCACTTTGCCCAGTGCTTCCCATTGCCAGATGCTATGGAGCCTCTCGCCCCACTTGTCCTTTGAACAGTGCCAAAATGATTAGCTGCAGGTCACTTCCTTTTCCATGGAAATCTTCTGCAGTTCTTTTCCTCCAGGAAGTGCCTCCACAATGATTTCTCATTATTATCTGAATTGCAGTAGCATTTAGGAGTCTCCAGTCCTGGACCAGGATCCCATCGTGCTGGGCTCTGCACAGCTAAGAACAAAGACCATCATTGCCCCAGTGAACCCACTATTAGAACTTATGTGCCTGGGTGCCACTGGAACAATCACCAAAGCAACAGAAGGCAGGGGCAGTGCCCCTCTGTGGCAGAAGTGTCACGCTGTCCCCTGTGTTTCTCTAAATGGGTTTTATTTGTCTGGCCTTTCTCTATGTCGTTTCTCAGTTCTTCAGATGGAATAGCAAGTTCTGGGGCCTCTTGAGGGCATTTTGATGCAGTACAGTAATGCTGTGTTGCACTTGAAAAGTCCATATAGATGCCCTGCTGTGATAGACAATGTGTGGCCCAAATCCCTCCCTACTGTTTCAAGAGAACTTAGCATGGTACAGGTTGTACTTTTGAGATTCTCTGGTCTGGACCACGGATGTTCCTGGACAGAGAGCCCAGGGACAGGGAGGTCTAACGGTGTGGCTGGGAGCCTGTCCGGGGGACCAGCAACATGACTGGGGTGCCAGCAGCATGGCTGGGAGCCCCACAGCAAAGACAGGAACCCCACAGGGCTGGCAGCAGTGTAGCCAGAGGTGGCTGGGGAGCTCGAGTCTCAGCGAGCCCTGGTTAGGTCAGCAGCAGTGGGGCTGGTGGCCACCAGGAAGTTCCAGCCCCAGGGAGCCCTGGCTGGGCCAAAAGCATCAGGCCTGGCAGCAACCGGGGAGTCCTGGCCCCAGGGAACCCCAGCCAGGCTGGCAGGAGTGGGACCAGCAGTAGCCGGGGAGTCCCAACTGGGCTGGCAGCAGCAGAGCTGACAGTTGAGCCAGTGGGAGGGGGACCATGGCCAGAGTCTGAACCTGGCAGCGGGGCCAGAAGACCTTCCCTGGTCCAGCAAATTTCCTTGCTTGGGATCAGTCAGATCCTAATGGGGGCTGGACCAAGGGAGATCCAACCTTTAATAAAGTTAAGCATATGCATACATGTTTGCAGGGGGGAGAACACGCAGGGCCTGGCAAAGCCTTGGTACTCCTCGGCGGCTGGGGGAGTGAGGAGGGAAAGCTGGAGCAGCCTCGGTCCTTTCCAGTGGCTGGAAGCGGTGGAGGAGAGCCAAGGCTGGTGCGGGGGAATGGATAGTGGGTAGAGGCCTTGGCTCTGCAAAATAGCTGGGGGGAGGGGGAAGAGAACAGGTGCTAGCACAACCTCTGCCCAGTGCCTGAGGGGGAAGGGGCAGGACAGGGCTGCCATGTCTTGGCCTGGCCCTCCCCGGCAGCTGGTGGGAGACCTGGGGCTGCCTAGTGTAGCGAGCAGAGGGTGCAGCCCCCTAGTTAAGGTTTAAAATGAACAAGAGAAGTAGATAAAGAAAATTCTACATATGCAACATAATCAACTTCTGGGAATAACTTTAACTTGCAGGACTGTCTTTCTTTTGAGTGCTTAATTTTTCCAGCTTTACATAGCATTAGCACTGTTTTTCCTTTCAGTTCCAAAAAGTTAAGAAGTTATAAAACTAAATAGATCTCAAGTTCTTTGGCTTTGGAAATGTGCATCAGTGTCTAGAACCATGCATAAGAATGAGGAAGTCACAGTGTTCCTCTCCTGAGTCACCCTATCCTCAGGTGTTAGTACCTTGAATAAATGAACAGAATAATTACTTCTGAGTCATGCTTGTTAGCTCTAAATGGGATACAAGAGTGACTGGTATGTCTTTCTGAGGGAAAAAGACAGAGAATCACAGAGGAAGTCCTGAAGGAAACCCTAAGGACAGTGAAGCCTGGGGAGAAAGTTTTGGCTCAGGTTTGTGTTTTGGTGTGTAATTTTGTGGAGGAGCTCAGCAGAAACTTTACCCATTTACTATTTGTTCATGAGGGTGTATAATGTGTGCTAGGCCTTTTCTAGACATCCAAGAACTCACAATTTAAGGACAGATAGACAAAGTAAGCAGCCATTACAGGAAGGGAGACAAACAGGGATTTTCTTCAGTGGAGATTATACATTGTTTAAACTAAAGCTGCTCATTTTATGCTACAGAGCTTTAGCACTGAGCCTGTACTGAAACATTTTACCTAATTGAGCTATCTAAAATACTGAACTGTGCTGAACGTACTGGGATGTTGCACCTCTATTTTTTTTATAGAAATTTATTTGAGTATGAATATGCCTAATTCAACATCCTTGTGCTGGGATGTTGCACCTCTATTTTTTTATAGAAATTTGAGTATGAATATGCCTAATTCAACATCCTTTATGCAAAATGTAGCATGTGACTTATCATTGGAGACCTTGTAATCCCCTAAATGTGTATAATCTATTTGTGTGCATGTGTCATTCCTTTATTTGAAGTTAGAAATCCAAAGTATGAACCTGTTCATATATCTAAATATGCAAATGAAAGTCATTAGTGGTACTCAAGATTCATAAATAGTCTTGTTCTTGTAAACTGGGATTATGGTTGGCTTTGCCAAGACATGTCAAGACCATGATTCATAAATAGTCTTGTTCTTGTAAGCTGGGATTATGGTTGGCTTTGCCAAGACATGTCACCAGGTCACCTGTTGCTGGAACCCATTTTGGATGTGGTATTTTTCCATGGAAGGGTAAAAGGGTTGAAACTGAACACAAAGGATTCCCACCGTAGGCAAAATATATTTATAGGCAGGGAACCAAACAATAAAAGAGTTGGCTGTTGCCAGACACAGAGAGAACCTCTACTTACCACCCAGATGATAGCTAGAAACATCTAAGACTGAACAGGGAGAAGGATTGAGCCCTAGCAAGAAGGCTGCCTAGCTTATGAGAAAAGATAATTAAAACTAATATTAGGGTAAGAAATAGCATGCAAGAAGTGTCTTAGAGTATTAAGCTTAGCTGGCCTGTTTTGTTTCCTTTATCTTAGTACAGTAAAACCTGTGTTAACCAGAACACTCTAATCCCCGAGCGTGCCGGATATCTCAGGGTCCCATCAACCTAGGAAAAACTGATGGACAATAATAGTAAAACTCAAGTTTTTAATATTGGTAGTTTCGTAGTGTGAGGCAGTTGGTCTCACATTTCTATTTTGAGTTAAAGACGATTCGTACTTCTTAAATAAAAATTTAAGCCAATTATGGTAAACCAAACCAGGCCTGTGCTCCTGAAGATGTGAGAGTATTGTGGCTGGGGACAATGCCAGTTAAAGTGTTCTGGTTAGAGTGCTGGATAACAAAGGTTTCACTGTAACGTAAATGATGCAGATCAAAATAAAACAACTTACATCCTTCTTTTTATGCTTAACATCACTTTTGTTTTTATTTTGATCTGCATCATTTACAACAACTTACATCCTGCTTTTTATGCTTAACATCACTTTTGTTTATTATTAAACCCAGTGTAAATCACTGTTATCCTGCGTACACTAAAGATATACATCTCTCTCTTTCATTGATAAAGGGAGTGAACACCTTATAAAAGTTTCATACAGAGCAAGCTTGTAACAGGTAAGACAGATTTATGTGGGGTCCTGGTCCCACTGTGGCTGTACACCTGGGTGCTGTGTCAAGTCCCTGTGCTTGAGCCTTTGGTTCAGGCTTATATCAACTTTAAGTTACCTGCAGATAAAAATTTAGTCTCAGCCTACATTGCTTACAATGTCCAAAACAATTCTTTTTGGCTTTTTCTGCTCTAGGAAGATGAGGCCCCATTACTTACCACCTCTACAGCACTCTTGGTGTTAGCCGTGATGGCAGCTATAGTTGGGCTTAGGCTCTTTTTTTTTTCTCCTGTTCTCTAAACTTACTCCAAATAGGTGTTTTTATGACTTCTCCTTGAAGTCTATCTGCATTCTTCTTCGTTACTCCCAACAGGGTAGCTGCACCAGTGGTGATGTATGGATCCTAGTGTAAGATTTGGTCTTAGCTTAAATAACTAAACTCAGACTTGTAGGTGCCAACTTCTCATTTTGCCAGTGGGAGCTCCAGGCCCTGCCTCCACTCCATCCTTTCCCCTAATCCTCCATCCCACCTCTGCTCTACCCCTGATGTGCCTCCTCCCCACCTCTTCACTCTAGGGCAACCCATCCCTGCTCATTCCCCTTCCCTCCTTCCCCCCTGAGATTGAACACACTGAATCAGCTGTTCATGGTGCTCTGGAAGCAGTGGTAGGAAGGGGGCAGAGTAGGCAAGCACGGGGCTGTCAGCTTGTGCGAGGATCACGCGGAAGGAACTTGGCACTGGTGGGTGCTCTGCACCCACTAATTTTTCAGTGTGGGTGCTCTGGTCCCAGAGCACCCAGAGTCAGCACCTATTCTCAGGCTAAAAGAATGTGTCTAAGCAATGGAAAAAGAGGGTTTAGATTGGAAATTATAACTCTTCTATAACTGTAGCTAGGTTGCCAACCCTCCAAGGTTGTCCTGGAGCTTTTAGGAAATAAAGATACATCATGAAGTGAAACCTCTAGGAATATGTCCAACCAAAATTAGCAACCCTAATTGTAGCAGGTGCTACCTACATACTCCAGCAACTATTGAGAAGACCATAGACATGACTAGATCTAATGCTTTTGATCTCTGTATTTAAGGCATCATGTTCCGCAAAAAGAAGAAGAAACGTCCTGAGATCTCTGCTCCACAGAACTTCCAGCATCGGGTCCACACCTCATTTGATCCAAAGGAGGGTAAATTCATTGGCCTGCCCCCTCAATGGCAGAACATTCTAGACACTCTGAAACGTCCAAAGCCAGTTGTAGACCCTTCAAGAATTACCAAGATGCAGCTTCAACCTATGAAGGTGAGAGAGGAAAGTTATTCCATACCATTCTGTCAAATGCAATGCCGCCCAAGAGAAGCAACACCTCCCATGTTCCTCAGAATAAAAATGTACTATTGATGTTACAGGGTGATTGCTAAAATGTCCAGGGAAGGTCAAGGTGTAGGTTTTGACCAACTATCTTTTGTGAAGGCAGAGTAAAATCTCTCTTGTTTTAAAAGAAAAACAGGGACAGTAGTAGGACCTCTGGGATAACCATAACAACTACACTACTACATTTAAACTAACCCAGAGATTCTCAGACTGAAATGTACTATTGATGTTACAGGGTGATTGCTAAAATGTCCAGGGAAGGTCAAGGTGTAGGTTTTGACCAACTATCTTTTGTGAAGGCAGAGTAAAATCTCTCTTGTTTTAAAAGAAAAACAGGGACAGTAGTAGGACCTCTGGGATAACCATAACAACTACACTACTACATTTAAACTAACCCAGAGATTCTCAGACTGGGGGGGGGGCATAACCAGTGTTTCCGCTACATTTTTAATGTCCATGTGCAGGATGAATTTTGTAATGTGCACCAATACGGACATGTGTGACCCATCGCTTCCATATTGGTGCACATCACAAAATTCGTTCTGCACATGGATGATCTGTGGTGGGGGTGGGGCTGGGGGGTTTGAAATGTGGGAGGGGATTCATGGGGGGGGGTGCGGAGGCCTCTAGTTGTGAGTCTGGGCTCTGTGGTGGGACTGGGGGATGAGGTGTTTGGGGTGCAGGAAGGGGCTCTAGGCTGGGGCTAAGGGGTTTGGAGTGTGGGGTCTGGGAGGGAACTAGAGTGCTAGAGTGGGCTCAAGCTGGTGTGCAGAGACTGGAGAATGTTAGAGCATGGGAGGAGGCTCGGGGTTGAGGTGCGGAGCACTTACCTGGGGTAGCTTCCTTTCATTTGTGGTTGAGAACAGGTGGCTCTGAGCTGCTCCATGCTCACCTATAGGCACCACCCCTCACAGCTCCCATTAGCCATGATTCCTAGCCAATGAGAGCTGCAGGGACAGAACTTCCAGGCGAGGGCACTGGTGCTTGCAGTGGCATGACTCAAGCAGGGGGGGAAGGAGGGGAGGAATGGCAGCGCACAAAGCCACCTCCCCCCACCAAAAAGGGCTGGCCCAGAACAAAGGGGGTTTTATGGGTTGCAACCTGGGGTCTTGGGCTGCAGTGCCTAAATCCCCTTTCTTAATCAGGTCTTGCTGCTGGGGCTGGAGGAGCATGTCTCTCCCCCAGCTGGGGCAGCTCACTGCTGCTGGCCCTGCTGCAGCTGGAGGAGAGGCATGTGGAGTGGCTGGGGAAGAGGAGGCCTGAGCCCTTGTGCAACGCTTATTAGGCAGCTGTACAGCCATTGTGACTGTGCAGCTTAGATGGATCTGTGGTCATGACCCCAGGGGGTTGCAAGGTTATTCTGTGGGGATTTCAGGCTCCCAGCCCTGCACATGGCAGGTCTCTGGCTCCAAAGAAAGAGTGACAAAACAGAAGTTCAACCATGGTGCCATTTTCCCTAAGGCCATTCCTGGGACTGAGAAAACATTAAGGGGCTTGATAGGGCTGTAAGCGACTAGTCAACAAGCAAATGCTTATCAGATAGTTGAGTAGGGATTTGACTAGTCACTTCTCCCCCCTTGCTGCTTCTATGAGGCTTCCTAGTCCGAACTACCGTTACTCCTCATTTCACAAGGAGTAACGGTAGGTCGGACTAGGAAACCTAGTCCGAACTACCTAGTCCGTGCCGCGTGTAGCCGCGCGGCACGGAGTCCACACTAGCGGACATTTAAAAATGGCGGCGCCCGGCTTTATGCAAATGAAGCCCGGGAAATTCAAATCCTGCGCTTCATTTGCAACTCTGGTTGCCTACATTACCACCATAGTTCGAACTAGGGTGGTAGTTTAGACATACCCTTAGAGAGAGGCAGTGGGGGGTGGGAGGGGAGGGAGCAGGAGCCGTTTCCCCCAGCACCATCTTTGTGAAGGGTAGGGGAGGCAGAGGCACAGTGAGGAAACGGCGTAAATGGGGTCTGCTTCAGTCCTCGCTCATAATGGTTCCTACCTTGGGTGCTTCTGCTTTTGAAATGTACAAGAGCCCTACAGGGCTCAAAAGCAGAAATGCCAAAAGGAGCATGGGGCAAGCAGGCCCTGTGCTCTCTGCGGGCCCTCCTTGTTCACAGAAGTAGCTAGTGGGGGGACAGGAACCGGTGCTGGGAGGACCTCACTTAAAAGCTGGTTCACCCCAGCACCATCTCCGGGGCGCTGCCTACCACCCCTCTCCTGCTGGGGGGACGGGGGACGCTGCTGTGAAGCAGCCCCTGTCCACAGGGGCCTCCCTGCAGACAGGGGCTTTTGCCGCCAACCAACCCTGTTTGCGGCAGTCAGGGCTGGCCGTAGGCAGCAGCCCCTATCTGCAGCCAGCCCTGGCTGCCATGAATAGGGGCTGCTGGACTCAGCGCGAACCGGGACTGAATGGTCCCGGCTTGTGCAGATTGTTGCGCCTGTGCATTTTAAATGTAGTAAAAGCCCAGTGGCTCTTACTGCATTTAAAATACAGAGCTGCAGCACTGGCAGCTCTGGAGCTGGCATGAGCCAGGACTGCTCAGCCACGGCTTGAGTCGGCTCCCTGAGTTACTCTGCAAGCCATAGTGAGGGTAACGCTTATTGACTTGTCAATACATATTGAATCAATTAAACAATTAGCCAGATATTTGCATTTTTAACATCCTTAGGGCTTGATTGTTCAGAGCTGAAGAGCTTCCTTAAACTGCAGATCAGTCTGAACACTAAGATCGGCCATAAAAAGTAATTTATAATTTGACACATAAGAACAGCCATACTGGGTCAGACCATGGCTGTGTCTACACTGGCATGAATTTCTGGAACTGCTTAAAACGGAATACTACTCCGTTTTCAGTTTTTCTGGAAAAGGAGTGTCTACATTGGCAGGCTGCTTTTCCAGAAAAGCCCTTTTTCCGGAAAAGCGTCTGTGACCAATGTAGACGCGCTTTTCTGGAAAAGAGCCCCGATCGCCATTTTCGCGATCGGGGCTTTTTTCCAGAAAAGACTACTGGGCTGTCTACACTGGCCCTTTTCCGGAACAGTGTTCCGGAATAAGGACTTATGCCCGAGCGGGAGCAGAATAGTTTTTCCAGAATAGCGGCTGATTTTGTACAGTAGAGCATCGTTGCTTTTCCGGAAATTCAAGGGCCAGTGTAGACAGCTCGCAGCTTATTCCGGAAAAGCGGCTGATTATGGACCCCATAAGTCCATCTAGCCCAGTATCCTGTCTTCTGAAAAAGTGGACAATGTCAGATGCCACAGAGGGAGTGAACAGAAACAGGTAATCATCAAATGATCCCTCTCCTGTCATCCATTTCCAGCCTCTGACAAAGAGGCTAGGGACACCATTCCTACCCATTTTGGCTAATAAGTATTGATGGATTTAACCTCCAAGAATTTATCTAGTTCCTTTTTGAACCTTGTTAAAGTCTTGTCTTCACAACCTCCTCTGGCAAGGAGTTCCACAGGTTGACTATGTCATGCATGAAGAAAAACTTCCTTTTGTTTGTTTTAAACCTGCTACCCACCAATGTCATCTGGTGACCCCTATTTCTTATGTTATGGGAACAAGGAAATAACTTTTCCTAATTCACTTTCTCTATACCTGTCATGATTTTTAGTCCTCTATCATATCCCCCCTTAGTCTCCTCTTTTCTAAAATGAAAATCCCAGTGTTTTTAATCTCACAAGGGCAAGGGTGGTGCTGGGGAATCTTGTGGAGGCTATAGCTACTGCAAAATTTGCCTTAGCCTGAACATAGCCACCTCTCCTAGTATTGAGGGCACACGTTCCTCAAAAGTAAGGGTGGCACAATATGGCATTGCCAGCCTTATTTCTGCAGTTCTACACTGCAGATAGTGGTACCACTGCCTTCAGAGTTGGGTTCCCAGCCAGCAGCTGCTACTCTCAGGCAACACAGCTCTGAAAGTAGCGCATTAATAAGGGTGGTGATAAGGCACTAAGTCTGCTGTGAACGGTGATATTGATAGGTTCTTTGCATACCTTCCCAGTATTGAATAGTAACTATTTAAAAATAACACAGTAAAGGTGTTTATCTTAATTTAAAAGCTATAAAAAAGTAACTATTAAAAACAATTAGGGAGCTGCGCCCCCTGCTTGCTATGCTTGCCAACCCCCATCTCTCTGGGAGTAGCTGTCTGGCCGGGGGGAGGGTGCAGGAGTGGGCTGGGGGTGCGGCATCTCAGTGGAGGGGGAAAGTGAGGGGGCAATAGGTGTGGGGTCTCAGCTTGGGGAGGTATGAGTGAGTGGGCTGAGGGTGCAGCATCTCAGCAGAATGGCAAGGTGTGGGCTGGGGGTGCAGGTTCTCGGTCATGGAGGTGTGTGAGAGGGCTAGGGGTGTGGGGAGGAGGGAGGCCACATAGCTCATGGGTTCCACCTTCCTGGAGCACCAGAGAGCAGGGAAGGCTGCATGGCTCCCACCTCCCCGGAATACCAGGGAGAAGTGAAGGGGGAGGCTGTGTGGCTGGGGGTGGAGGCAGGCAGTGGGACACAGAGTGATGTGATGATGTAACTGTCATCCCACAGGAAAATATTTTTATATATAGAGAGATTATATTAGTACATTTCAATCTAAGTAAGTAGGTGGGTAGGTTAGCTTTAGCGATTTGCAAAATATGACAGCTTTAATTCATCACTGATTTGTCATTCTATAACAATTTCTTGGCATAAGTCCAACAGTGACTATATTAAAATCCAGCCATCAGATCAGTTTTAAATCCCCAAATTCAACAATTTGATGATATACTGCATGCATCTGCTGGTATTTAGGGCAAACTTCTTTGGTCTGAATGAGATGTATACAGGATTCCGACATTAGCCCAGAAGTTTAAAAAAAAAATCTAAACCTCTTCCTACCACACAGCTGTTGATAAAATAACTCATCTGCATGCGTTAACTCATCTGTGTGCTTTAGTTTAACCAACACTAATCTGTCGCAAGCCACAGGGAAGTGGAGCACATAGGAGTGGAAGATACGGGGGAAGAGTGTGGACTCTGATTCTGTCATTACTATCAGAGTTAAGGAAACCCAACACAAGAAAAGACATGCAAAAGCAAAAAATGGGGCGGGGAAGATTTGTCCTTAGCACCTATGTCTGGACACAGTGCTGGGCACTGAGATGAGACAAGGAAGAAGAGGAAACCATGTTAGTTTATTCTCCACTCCTGGATAATTGAAGGGAGGAAGTCAAGTCTCATTATACCATCCACTCAGCCCCATACATTCCCTGCAGGTGCCCCTACCAGTCAGCCACCCAGAGCTACATGCCCTGTTCTCATTCAAGTCAGGGTCCCCTCAAAGCCCCCACTGTCAAGTTCCCCCAACCTGTGTCCCCCTGCTCCCCAGCACCTCATGGCTAATACCTCATGGCTAATTCCCCATCTCCGCCCCTCAAAGCCAGATTCTCTGAGCCAGGTCCCTCCTCCCCTCTCTTGACAGCTGGGTGTCCCCAGCTAGGCCCCGCTCCCTAGCTATGACCTGCTTAGCTGCTCCTGAGGCAGGGTTAGGCTGGGTGCACTGCTCCTGACTCCTTCACGCTCCAGTGGGTCTGCAGCCCGGATGCTGTGTGTTGGGCCAGACCACATGGGACGCACCAGGGAGGGGGGAGGCTGCGCAGCTCCCACCTGCCTGGAGCACCAGAGAGGGGTGAAGGAGGAGGTTGCGTGGCAGAGTTCAGGTGGCAGGACACAGTGTGACATGATGACATCACCTTGTCATTCTACACGAAAACATTTTCATTTAGAAAGAACTAACAGTAGGGCTTTACATTTAGCATTTTAAAGTGTTAAATATAAAAAGTACTTTAATTTATAAGAGTGGGTCACACTCAGAGGCTTGCTGTGTGAAAAGGGTCACCAATACAATAAGTTTGAGAACTGCTGAACAGCTCAGTCAACTATCCTTCAGTAAGAAATGGACCTTGGAGAGCTCCCAGCATATCCAGAGTACAAGGAATATGATCCTAGGTTTGGCCTAACCAATTAAGCACCTGTAAATCTGAAATAGGGCTTTGCTCTTTCATCCCTATCTTACTGCCCCATTTGCAAGAATGAGAGATGAGTCTGTGTTGCCTTTCTTGTGCTCCAGTCAGGAGGAGGAGGTGAGGTTACACTGACCACAGCTTAAGATGGTGGATTACTATTACCATTGCTATTATCCCAGCTTGCATTGCTGAGGTAAACTCGATCGTGGTTCTCAAACTTCATTACACCATGACCACCTTTGGACAACAAAAATTACAACATGATCCCAGAAGGCGGGACAGAAGCTTTAGCCTCTTTAGCCCCACTACCCCAGAGGGGGTGGGGCAGGAAACAAAGCCACATCCCAAGGGCTTCGGTCATAGGCAGGAAGCCAGTAACCCAAGTCCTTCTGCCCCTCGAGCTTCGGCCCCAAGTCCCAGCAAGTCTAATGCCAGCCCTGGCAACCACATTAACATTGGGAACAATCTGGGAACCCTTGAACTGTATAAACAGACTGCTGAAGTTTAGGAGTAAACTAGAATAGACAAAAGGCTTACTCACCATACTGAATAGACTCCTGGGGCTGGGTTTCTGACCCTTTTCTCTTGGCTTTTTCCTTTTCATCTCCTTTGTGTGAAGGTGGTAGAACCGGTTTGCAGTCAATGTCCCAATCAAGATGTGATTGACAGAGCAGTTCAAACAGAAAGCAGAGCAAGTCATGCATGTATATAGATATGAAGATGTTGTCACCTCAGGAGTGAAAAGATGAACTTACCCAGGCCCAAGATACTGGACATACAATGAAATGAGTTTGAGTGGCCTCATCTCACCTCTAGTTGATAGGATCTTTCTCCCTGCACTTCCTTCCTTAACTCAGTGAGCCTGATTCTCAGCTGGTTCAAATCAATATTGCTCCAGTGAAGCTGTGTCAGTTTACACCAGCTGAAGATCTGGCCAGCTGTAATTAATTTAGCATGATTAGAGGAACCCCAGAGTTGAGAGAGAAAACAGATTACCACCCCTCACTCCACGGGAAGATTTCCTCATACAGACTGAGATTCACACAAGGGGAGGGAATGATATTATACTGCATCTTCTTGTGGAGAATAAATGGTTTGAGTGCATAGCTTTAGGCTTTTCAGTTCCAAAATAAACAAGATGGCTAAGTTGCTGTACAGCATATTAAATGTATAGGGCGTGGCACTCATACAGTATTGGTGACTGTTTGGATGGATGCCTTATCCTTCATCATTTGCCTAAAAGGCAGTTGTGAACTGCTGCAATCCTTTTGTTTCCAGTAGTGTGTTCACCATTTTTAATTGCAATGGCTTGGCAGAGAAGATGGGGGACCCAGAGATGGAACAGCATGAGGTTTACGAGAAAGGGTGAAGAAGCACTTGAAAAAAAAATTAGAAGTAGACGCAAACTAAGGCAGGATTTGAATGTGTATTCACAGGCTCCAGCTTCCAGATTTTCCAGGGGGTCCTCAGCCCATGCTCAGCTATAGGCCCCCCCTCATCCCTTCTGCCAGTATCCCACTCCACCCCTTCCCACGTATGCTCCACCTCTTCCTTGCCTCTTTCTGCTCTCTCCCCTGAGTAAGGATGTAATCAGTTAACTGGTTACTTGGTATCACCCTTACTAGTAACCAGTTAACCGGTATCCGGCTGATCCAGAGCAGCCCCCAGCCTGCAGTGTGGTGAGCTCAACCTCGCTGGGCCCACCAGACCGCACCATGGATGGGAAGTTGCTCCTGCCTGGCTGCGCTCACTGCTCATGGCGCAATGCTGTGGGCGGTTAACCAGTTAAACATACAGTTAGCATTTTAAATGCTATTTTACATCCCTACCTCTGAGTGTGCCCTGTCCCTGCTCCTCTGCTTCCTTCTGAGCTCCTGCACGCTGCAGAACTGCTGATCAGTGGTGAGCAGGAGGTACTCGATGAGAGGAGGAGAGGTTGATCAGCAAGGTATCTGGTGGGTGGGAGGCAGTGCTAAGCACCCACTAACTTTTTTTCCATGAGTGCTCAAGGACTGAAGCATCCATGGCGTCAGCATCCATGTGTGCATTAACAGAGCTGTAGGAGAAAAGGATGTGTAGGTAGAGATTAAGAAGTGTTGGGATTTGTGGAGACTTAGTCGTGAAAGTAGTGCCCAATAAATGAAGAAGAAACTTTTGCCCCATGCTCAAAATCAAAGTTCTTAACCCAACTCTAAGGACTCATTGCTAGTTCAATGCACAATTTTTCCAGCCAGGACATTTTCTGTGTGTGTGTGTGTGTGCGCGCGCGCATGCGTATCTTCTTTGGCTGCATTTCATTTGTGAGGTGTGGTTACAAAATGAGGTGAGAGCCCAGTGTAACAGCAGAAATAAATAGAAGTCAGGACTGAAGGAGAGCCCAGTCCTGGAACTAGTAGGTATGTTGCAGGTCAGGGTTGAGATGCATTAGAAGAGCAGTGTGAGGAACACAGTGCCTCACTGCTCTGTTACTTTAGTTAGCGCCAGTCTTTGTCACAGCAATTTACACTTCATCAAACTTGAAGAAAGTAAAAATAACAGAGAAGCCAAACGTTTCCCCCTGCCCTGAGCTTCAAAGACTAGCCAAACACAAAACTCCTGTCCTTGACCTCCTGAGCCCTTAGGGTTAAGCTCTAACTTTGTCTTTTGTTTCTGTATGTTTGACAGACTGTGGTGAGGGGCAGCACCTTCGGAGTGGAGGGATATATCTCTGAGATACTGAATGATATTCAGAAGCTTTCTGTCATCAGTTCCAACACTCTGAGGGGAAAGAGCCCTGCCAGCAGGAGGAGAGCTCAGTCACTTGGACTTTTGGGAGATGACAGGCTCCCAGATATGTATCTTCAGAACCCTGAAGTCGACTGGGAAGACAAATATGGAAACTACCTCAACTGCAATGGTGGAAGCAAAGCAATCCGAAGGCAGACTATGTGGCCAGATTATAAACCCAGGACAGATGGGCAATCTCCTCCCAATGGTATGGTAATGAAAGCACAGTCCCTTGGGCCTTCAGAATTTCAAGGTGAGGGTAGAGGCTGCTTCCAGATCACTTCAGTTTCACAGCACCAACAACGCCCCTGTGTTCTGGTTGGGGAGAGTGACAAGGCTGAAAGAAGCTCAGAATGCTGGCCCCAGCCTTGCTTGGTGGCACAAATGAATCCCAGGCCTTCTGGGGAGGGCAGCCCTTGCCCCAAATCAAGAGAAAACAGCTTGAAGCGGAGGTTGTTACGAAGTGTGTTCTCATCTGGTGATTCTAAGTCAGCCTCCACCCTGCACATAAAGGTATATTTTATTTATATTTATTTACTGAAGAATTTATAGAGCTTCATTTTTTCTTTCATATTCAAGCAATTCTAATGGCAAAGAACATACTTACAGATATTCAAAGATGTCCTGATCAAAAATACAGAACTAAACTCTCCTTCCTCTTTTGTTCATGCAAAGAAGCATGATAATGTTCCTCACAAAGTAGGCTTCTGAGCATTGATCAAAACTACAGCCAGCTATAGCAGGTCTAAAGTGCATTTGCTGGTTTTGGTTGGGGCTTACCTTGTACTGGCAAAAATACTCTATTAGGAGCTATATCTTCGAGGAGAACTTGCCAGGATAGCTATGTTGATAGAGCTATCCTGGCAAACCATTTTTCAGGGCTTGTCTAAATGAACAGTTTGGGCATGTCTACACTAGGAAATTATTTTGAAACAACTTATTTCAAAATAATAACTCCAAAAATAACTGTTTTGAAATAGCAAGTCCACACTACAGGGAAGCCTTTAAATTAGTCTGAGGCAGGCTCCCTTAATGTGGATGTGCTATCTTCACTTAGTGCCTCCAGAAGCACTGGGGAGTTGTTACTCTGAATGACTCTGGGGAGTAGTTATTTCAAAATAGCAGCAGTGGAACAGCCACGCTACTGCTATTTCGAAATAACTATTTCAAAATATGCATTATTCCTCATGGAAAGCAGGGGTTATTAATTTGAAATAATGATCCTATTATTTTGAAATAACAGGCTTGGTAGTGTGGACACTCCGCTTGTTATTTTGAAATAAGGGGAGTTATTCGAAATGACTCCTTAGTGTAGACCAGGGCTTAGTATGTGGAAAGCTGTGATATGCATCAACCTTTTTTCTAATATGCCTAGCATTGTCTCTGTGGACCCTGCAACTACACACTGAAAGTTCCACAGTGTACTTTAATTTACTCTGTTTTGAAATGGGAGTAAATCATAGCACACTAGAAAGCTTTTACCACTTGGCCATAGGGACCACCTGAACACTTAGGCTACATCTACACTATGAGTTTTGCCGGAAGAGGCAATGCAAATAAAGCGCGGAATAGCATTTTCTCATGCTTCATTTGCATAATCTCTTCCAATCTGTTTTTGTACAAGGGGTTTTTGCGCAAAAAGAAGCAGTGTGGACATTTCCTTTTTGTGCACAAACCCCTTGCGCAAAAAGAAATGGCAGAAAATATGCTAATGAGATCATAATTTATGTTAATGAGACCCTCATTAGCATATTTTCTGCCGGAAGAACTCGCAGTGAAGACGTAGACTTAGTGCACAGCAGACTAGTGCAAAGTAGATTTACACCCCAAGTTTCCACATGCTGTTGATATAGATACACTGTATGTGTAGAATAGGACTACAGATGCAAACTGAACCTTTCTGGAAAGAGTAGTGGGCAGGGCTTAATGGCCCTGGGGTTCACATCTGTTTTCTATCTTATGCTCCTGAAGTTAATGCTACAGGGATCCTGCCAGCCACCAGCAGGGCGAGAAAGGGATTATCCTGCAATGTATTCTGGGAAGTTTTTTATATTCTTCCTCTGAAGAATCAGAGCTGGGACACTGGATGTGATGGGCCAGAGTCCTGAGGTGGCACCGAGCAGTGTCTCTCTCAGATGTTTGGCTGGCTGGTGTCACTTGCTCAGGGTCTAACTCAGGGCTATTCAGCTCTGGAAGCCTTGGCGGCCACAGTGATATTCACAGCACACGCTGAGGACCGCAACTTAACTGGTGTTGCATATATATGCAAATAGCTTTTTTCACACTGACAGGCATGAATTCAAAGATTAAAGCAAGACTACACTACATGCGGGCCCTATTTAAGTCAGTTCTGCTGATATTAATAACATGCAGTATTTCCACCCATATGACAGCACTTTTAATGAGCAATGACAGTCCAGGAATTTAACTACTAAAATGCATATTAACAGAAGACCATTATATTGACTACTTTTTTGTTTTGACTCCCACCCATGGGCCATGTGTTGAGCCCTGCATAAACCCAAACCGCATTGTGGGTCACAAACAAACGGGCCAGCCCACGGGCTGTGTGTTCAGTAGCGCTGGTCTTACTGATGGCTGTATGTGGAATCTGGAAGGCTTTTTTTTTCTTCCATGTCAAATTGGCAATGACTTGGTTTTTTTCACTTTCCTCTGGAGGGTCTAGGTCACTAACTAGGATTATCTGATCTATATCCCTGCCTTAATCATAATTGCAGATACAGACTAACATGGCTACCCCCTCTGACTTTTAACTTAGGAATGTGTGTATCCATCGGGTGATAGAGGGTTGGAGCAGGAAATGCATGTGGTTAGACATGTATGAGCCTGTGTTCATGTAAAGGCCTTTTGCGTGCTTTAGGTTATTAAAAAAAAAAAACAAAAAAAAACCCTATTTTGTGCAACAAAATAAGAGTTCAGAAATAAATACCTTCCTGTCAGGAACATGTCTGTGCTGGAATGCAAGGGTAAAGCTTTTATGGAAACAGGAAGTAATTTCTAACTGGAAGTTACTTTTGTGTGTGTTTGTGCTCTGTGTACGCTACTGACTACATAGTGACTACCCATGCTGGCGCACATGGGTGCCTATATATGAGTGCCTGAAAATGAGTATGTGTATGGAAATGTTACACTTCTGTAGTTTTTATTGTTAATAGAAATCCTTAATAGAAATCCTTAATAAAAATTTAGGCTTATATAGTTAAGATCTAGTTTAGTCTCTCTCTGGATGTTTTAAGATTTCTAAAATAAAGAATTCTCCCTATAGCAGTCACTATTATTCGTCTTTCCCTCTGAGCCTGTACCATCAGCTTTCAACTCTCTGGCTATGTCTAGACTACAGGGTTTTTTTTTTTTTTTTTTTTAAAGTGGCCTTTTAAAAAAAAAAAAACTTCATCTATGCCTAGACTGCCACCGTGTTCTTTCGAAATTAAATCAAAAGAATGCGGCAGTTTTTTTGACAGTGGTAAACCTCATTTTACGAGGAAGAATGCCTTTTTTCGAAAGAGCTCTTTCGAAAAAAGGCGTTCTTGACTGCAAACAGGGCTTTTTTGAAAGAGAGCATCTAGATTGCCTGGGTGCTCTCTTTTGAAAAAGCGATCCACTTTTTGTGTGAAAGTATGTGTATTCTGAAGTCCTATCACTGCAAGCTGTGATCTTATTAGCTCTCATAACCTAAATAGGACTGGGTCTATTTAATACTTGAGTAGGAGATCACAAGAGAGAGGGAGCCCTGAGTACTGCAGGAAAGAGTATTTGGTAATTCAGATTCCTTTTGAGTCAGGCCTGAACCTGTAGCATATTAAGGTGTCACATTGCTCTGTGCTGCTGGAGGTAAGACTTTTCCAATGAGATACTGCCCATTTAGACTGTTTAAAATCCCATGACCAGGGCTCGACAAATAATACAATCTACTCGCCATCGGCGAGTAGATTGTAACCCGGAAGAGCCAGGTTCAGGCAATCTGCGCATGCGCAGAACGATCTGTGCACGCGCAGATCACCGGACAGCGCAGCTGGTGAGCGGGGCTCATCACAGTTCGGCGAGCCCTGCCCATGACACTTTTCCTAAAACAAAGCATGTTAACTCTGTCTTGGCCAAATTCCAATTTAGGGAATTATGTTCTACCTCCTTAAAATTCTCCCTGCATCCGTAACTGAATATTTACACAATACTTTTCATCCAACAACACCAAGTGATTTACAAAGTATGTATGACTCATTATCCTCTATTTTCACAGATGGAAAAAAATGAGATACAGAGAAAACCATGTTTTCAAAAGTTCCTAGTGATTCTGAGTGCCTCCATATTTGGGTGTCCAGTTTGAGAGACTTTCTAGGGCCTGATTGACTTAAAATCAATCCTTTGAAGGCCTCTTAAGCTGAACACCCAAATCCCTAGTTATTTTTGAAATTATTGGCTTGTGTGACCTGTCCCAAGTCATCCCATAGGTCAGTGGCAGGACAGGGAATAGCATTCAGCTCTCCTGATTCCTAGTCTGGTGCACTATCCACTGGACCACTCTAGCATAACATACTTCTGATCTCTACAGCCTTCTGTTTGTTACTAATCTAATCAACACTTTTTTTTTTAAATTCACTCTTCTCAGTCTAATGCTTTCTTCAGACCCCAGCACTGGGGTTCTCCACGCAGTCTTGCAACCAAAGCCCAGTCTCTTCCACCTGACCAGCCAGCACCAGATTTAACCAGAATGATTTCAGAAGCTGATACCCCACAGAAGAGCCCGATAACTGAGACAGCAACCACACTGCAACAGGGTAGGCCGTCACCAGCTGGATCTCCCAGAAACAGACACACTCAGACCAGTTCTAGCAACCTTCACCTGTCCCAAGACTCTTCTGCAAAAGGACAGTTGGCCAATGAAGACCCTGTGATTGTGACTCATGAACAGTTCAAGGCAGCCCTCAGAATGGTAGTAGACCAGGGGGATCCCCGGACATTGCTGGAGAACTATGTGAAGATTGGTGAAGGGTCCACAGGCATTGTCTGCATCGCTCGTGAGAAGCACTCTGGGCGACAGGTGGCAGTAAAGATGATGGATTTGAGAAAGCAGCAGCGACGGGAACTTCTTTTTAATGAGGTGAGGATGGTAATGGGAGAGTAGAGGAATGTGCTTTCTGTAATGAAGCAAGAACAGCAATAGGCTCATCTTTATTTGTAATGCAGAGAAGATGGTAAGGAGATGAGGATAGTAAAAGGAGGACAGAGAAGGACCCTCTTCCTCTTAATGAAGTGAGTCTGGTGACAAAAATGAGAGGGAGTATAAGAGTGCTTCAGGAAGCCTACATCACGTGAGACAGAAAGATGAATGGAACCCACTTAGATCTTTGGGGGAGGTCTTTGCTTTATGGGTAATGTCGTTGTGTAGTGAAACATATTCCCTACTTTCTCAGGTGGTGATTATGAGAGACTATCAGCACGTCAATGTGGTGGAGATGTATAAAAGCTATCTGGTGGGAGAGGAACTCTGGGTGCTCATGGAATTTTTGCAGGGAGGAGCCCTCACAGACATTGTGTCTCAAATCAGGTATGAAGCACAAAGCAAAGAATTATGCTACCTGATGGACGATAGCGTGACTGTAGGGCCTGTGTCATGAAATTCCGTTCGATAACTTATTCTACAAAGATTTTGTAATTCTCATGATTGCAATGCCCTGCAATTATCAAATGTTATAATCAAAGCCACAAATTCTTTTGAAATGAGTAATTGTTCCTCTAACCTAGGAAGTGGGAAGCATCACGATCATACGGGCCAAAGCTGTCTCTACTAGTGACTCAGTATCTGAAATACTGGACATACAAAACTCTGCACTTTAACGATATTTGAGTGTAATACAGTAGAACCTCAAATTTATGAACTGACCAGTCAACTATACACCTCATTTGGAACCAGAAGTTAGCAATCAGGCAGCAAAGTCAAATACTGTAAAGCACAGTACTGTATAACACACAAACAACTAAAAAAGCAAAGGGAAAGTTTTGTGCTTTTGTTTTTTAAAAAAGTTTGACAAAGTAAGGAAACTTTCTGTGCTTGTTTCATTTATATTAAGATGGTTATAAGCAGTGTTTTCGTGTGCATAGTAAAGTTTCAAAGCTGTATTAAGTCTGTTCAGTTGTAAACTTTTGAAAGAACCAGCTATAACATTATGCTCAGAGTTATGAACATTTCAGGTTTACAAACAAATTCCATTCCTAAGAGGTTGGTAATTCTGAGGTTCTACTGAATGCAGTCCAAGGAGCTTATCAGTAGTCACTGGAGAACACCTTGAACTAGTTTTCGATGGTACAATATTAGGGTGAGTTGGGATCAGCTGGTAAATCCTACCTGAATCCTCCAAAGTATGTTGCAATCTGGACACTTCCTTAAATCATATCCACTAACGAATGAAGTAAATAAACAAATTACAGACACGGGGGCTACGTCTACACTGGCCCCTATTTCGGAAGGGGCATGCTAATTTTGAAAGTGGGAATAGGGAAATCCGCGGGGGATTTAAATATCCCCCGCGGATTTAAATAAACATGTCCGCCGCTTTTTTTCCGGCTTGGGGAAAAGCCGGAAAAAAAGCGTCTAGACTGGCCCGATCCTCCGGAATAAAGCCCTATTCCGGAGGATCTCTTAATCCTACTTCGAAGTAGGATTAAGAGATCCTCCGGAATAGGGCTTTATTCCGGAGGATCGGGCCAGTCTAGACGCTTTTTTTCCGGCTTGGGGAAAAGCCGGAAAAAAAGCGGCGGACATGTTTATTTAAATCCGCGGGGGATATTTAAATCCCCCGCGGATTTCCCTATTCCCACTTTCAAAATTAGCATGCCCCTTCCGAAATAGGGGCCAGTGTAGACGTAGCCTGCATGTTCTGCTTTGTAAACATCTACTATGTGGGGAAAATAACATTCTTCTTCAAGGGTGCATCTATGCAGCAGGGCTTAATTCAAAATAAGCTATGCAAATTGAGCTACATCAATTGCATAGCTTATTTCAGAATATCTTATTTTGAAATTGAGAGTGTCTACACTTCTAGCACTTATGTTGAAATAGAGCACTCTTCCTCCAACTTCCCCAACTCCTCATACAAGGAGGGTTACAGGAGTCGGAGTAAGAAGTCCTCCAGTTTGACAGTATTTCAAAATAACTGCCTGCTGTGTAGATGTGGACTAAGTTGTTTTGAAATGTTGCTGTGTAGATGTACACAAGGGGCTTGTAAACATTACCAGTAATGCTGCATCACTAGTGCATGACTTTGGTGATGGAACACTTCATTACAGTGCTTGCTGGAGCACTCGCACACCCGCTCTTGCTCTCCTCTCTTCTCTGTTGTCCCTGAATATTCTGAGGGTGAGGCCTCAAAATGGGACATGGCAGTCTGGCTGTCTCAATTCCTTCCAGTTGTGGAATTGAGCCTCTCTGGGCTGATCTAACCTCTTCAAAGACTTGGTGTCTTAGGTAGATTTCTTAAGTTAGGTGTGCTGATAAAGCTACTGACATGTGCCTTCTTGCTTTCTGGAGCTCCTCACCACCCTGTCCTACTGGACCAGATTTTCTGGTCTCCTCCAGACAAGGCACAGAGCTGAGATACTCTCTCCCCCCCTCCCCCAAGAACAATACACACACTGAATCACTTCAGCTCTGGGCGGATGTAGTTCACAGGCACAGCATCCAGGCAACCAACCCCCAAATGGGATCAAAACCTCAAATCAATCTGTCTTTCACTGTGTGACAGTTTCACATGTTGAAAGCTCATTCAGGTAAGCCCCCTTTTCTAATGAAAGGAGGATATGTTCACTGATGGTCTCTTCCCCCCCTCCCCCCCAGTAACAATTAATTATACTGGGCTTAGTAGTAAATAAAAACAATTTTGTTAGGTACAAACAATAGGATTTTCCATGAGGCGTACAGATAGTTTGGAATGGCTTGCTAGTCCGAACTATCTAGCCCGTGCCGCGTGTAGCCGCGCGGCACAGGGTTCGAACAAGTCGGCATTTAAAAATGGCGCCGGCCGGCTTATGCAAATAAAACCCGGGAAATTCAAATCCCGGGCTTCATTTGCACGTTCGGTATGCATACATTACCCCGCTAGTTCGCACTAGCGGGGTAGTGTAGACATACCCTCACTCCTTCTATAGTCTTGCCCTCACGCAGGAATGAGCAGAATCCTTTTAAAAGAACTCTGGTTACAGATGAGTAACATTCATTTAATCCTGATTTATAAATGGAGAAATTGAGACACAGAGAGCATAAATGATTTATGTTGTGAAAGATTCGGCATTCATATGCCAGGCAGACGAGTCCTTGCAGAGATCAGAATTTTAGGTGTTTCTGTAGAGTTACAGAAGTAGGGTTTGAACTTAGGAGTTTGACTTCTTAGCTCATATTTAAGTGAGAAGGCCAAGCTTCCTGTGGTCAGATATTCTTTTTAATACATCTTTCTTATGCCAATTTTAGCACAAAGTGGAAATTAGTTAGATAGTGTCCAAACTGTACAATTGCATAAAACCTGGAAAAGATACTTCATCAAATTGATTATGTAGATCACTGCTGCATGGAATCACACAGCCTTTCTCACAAGTCATAGAATTATTGCTATTGGGTAAAACCTTCCTCCATGTGTGTTTATGATATTTTGCCCACATTCTGAAGCAGTCTGATCTCTGTTGCAGAAATTGCTTAGAGAGCAGTGGTTCTCAACCCATTTTTCATTGTAGGTTACATATGCAGCTCTCTGTATGTTATCTGGGTTGCATGCACACAATATATATACTACTTGTATGGCCCAGAAGGTGTCACCTGAGCCATACCTGTGTTCTGATTGGGCCACAGATTGAGAACCACTGGCATAGAGTATCAGGTTGGAATATGAATTTGAGGGAGAGCTCTTGTTTAAATCTAAAATCTGTTTTACAAACATGATTTGTTTGAATGCAATGTTTGTGAAAGATTCTGGATTGCCAGCCCTAGAGACAAAACTCTACTTATCAACACAGCAAGGCAATGGGAGTGTGTCTACACTGCACTGTTATTTTGAGATAACTAGTGTTATTTTGAAATAACCGCAACTTATTCCAACTTCTGTAAACCTCATTCCACAAGGAATAACACCTATTCCGAAATAGCTATTTCAAAATAAGGCGTGTGCCGATGCTCCACTGTTGCTATAGTGAATCCTCCCCACTCCCCCTGCCCAAGGCCATCCTAAGTTATTCCTCCCCGCTGCCTCCTGGAGTTCTAAATCGAGATCACACATCTACATTAGGGAAATCTGCCTTGGACTAATTTTGAGACTTCCCTGCAGTGTAGATGTGATATTTTGAAATAAGCTATTCCGGAATAGCTATTCCAAAATAGCTTATTTCAAAATAGCTGTGCAGTGTAGAAGTACCCTGGTAGTGCAAACTTTCCCACATTGCCTTGCTTCAATCCTGAGCTGCAGGAACCACTCAAGAGCTCAAATTACAAAATAGCTCAGGCTCCAGGCTCATACACTCCTTTGCTTTTATTGCAAAAATTACCCACAATGGTACCAGTTGGTGCTGATTGTGCTCATTTTTGTGTGTGTGTGATGAGGGCAGTTGGTCATTGTGAACTACAAGTAAACATCTTGAAAAATTACAGACAATAGAAAGGAAAATTGAGGGGTCGCACTGCACTTTTAGGAGATTTTCATTGATTCAAACTGTACAATGTTAATCATGATGCATGTTTACAATTCTGGGCTTTCTTTCAGACTAAATGAGGAACAAATTGCAACAGTGTGTGAGTCGGTGCTACAAGCCCTTGCATACTTACATTCCCAGGGTGTGATTCACAGAGACATTAAGAGCGACTCCATTCTCCTGACCCTTGATGGAAGGGTAGGCTTCTTCTGTTTAACTTCCCGAGTGTCCAATTCACCTAGGTTTTTTCACTTCACCTTTCCAAACAGCCTTTCCCTTCCCTTCCTCATCTTCCCTATTTTCACTTTCTCATTGATAGTCTGCTGCTGTAACCTTATTTAATCTCCTCCCCATTCTTACTGTTTTCCATCTCTTTTTCTTTTTTATCTTATCCAGTCATCTTTGTCCACTTGGTCTTTATCTTTGTGCCATTGTCAACTCCCTTATTTTGTTTAAAGATTTCATTGATCATCCTTCTTTCGCTTCTCACACAGGTGAAACTCTCAGATTTTGGCTTTTGTGCTCAGATCAGTAAAGATGTACCAAAAAGGAAGTCCCTGGTAGGAACTCCCTACTGGATGGCTCCAGAGGTTATTTCAAGGGCCCCATATACTACTGAGGTAATCTACCATTTTCCTAATTGAAATGCTGGCAAATAACAGATATTACAGGCTTCAGAGGGGTAGCCAAGTTAGTCTGTAACTCGAAAAACTTAAAAAACAAGGAATAGTCTAGCAGCACTTTAAAGACTAACAAAACATGTAGATGATATCATGAATTTTCATCTGTTCCTCTTCTGAGGAAACCATTTGGGCCCATACCAACATAAATACAACTATGTCAGAAAACTTGGTTACTACATAGTTGTCCCTGACATGGTGAAAATATGTAAGGATGTAAAACTAATTGTTACTGACTCTTGCTATAACTCTGCATGTGTGGACAGACTCAAGCAAGGCACAGCTTGGGACATGATATGAAATCACTGATTGAATCCCCTTTCCCTCAGCTCTCCTCCTGGAAAACAGAACAGGCACAAACCTGCACTCACATTTTTTATGAAATGTGCAGGAGACAGATACAAGATTGATAGGCCTGGAGATTTTCCAGGCCTTTATTTATCTGCAGAACAGACAGTTTGAACAATGATTATTGAGTCTTCTTGAAGCTACATCATTGTTATGGCTCAGTCACAGTCTCCATAATCCATCCAGTCTTCACAATTTATGCTAAGACTGCATGCAAGGGTTCTAGTTAGTGCCAATCTGGATTAATACTTCAATTTTTCACTAAGATCAGAGAGCTGAGATGTTACAGCAGTTGCTTTACACCAAAGAGCTCATGAATAAAGAGCAGTTGGCTCTTGCTATTAACTTTGTTCACAGTTGTAATGCTCTGCTGTCGTAGGTGGATATCTGGTCTCTAGGAATCATGGTGATAGAGATGGTGGATGGAGAACCCCCCTATTTCAGTGACTCCCCAGTCCAAGCAATGAAGAGACTCCGTGACAGTTCTCCTCCCAAACTGAAAAATTCTCACAAGGTCAGTATGTTTGCAAGACACTTTGGCATCTGATGAATCATTGATTGCCATCTGGGGGACTAAGTAGCTGAAGTCCAGATATATTAATAAACCATCTGGGAATCCCAGTCCCACCAGGACATTGTATCTGGAGAGGCACTTTTGTTCCTGTTGGAGGCCATAAGCTGGTGGATTTATCCCAAAGCTTCTGTGTGGCTCAGAAGACACTACACAAAGGTCTTTTTCAGCTCTCAATGCCATGATAAGGAACTGACACCTAGTGGCTAGTGTGTAAACTATATTCTAGTCTAGGTAAATGAGAGCTCATGCAATGAACTTCAGCCACTCTGATCATTAACCTAACTTGATCACTACTCATGGAAAATTAGCACTAATATTTAGAAATGGTGATTTCCTCTTCAGTCATGAGTTAAAACATTTTCTTTTTATTCCACTCCAAACATTGGAAACCAAATAATTTTTATAGCTTTGTGAACAATCATGTTCTTCCAATGTATCTGATCTTCAACTATTAGAGCTGAATTATTCGACTGAGAGGACAATGAGAATTTAACAGGATAAAATTAGTAGAAATCGCAGTGGGATTTTTTTTGCCTTTGCAACGCTAATATTAAAATTTCAGGACCAGACTTTTGCCCCAGGGAAAAGATATTAGTGACATAGAGCCAGTTCTTCCATCCCTCTCTCAAGAGTGACACATGGCCGATGGGGTTACTGCTTAGGGGCAGTTACCAACGAGCACAATTTATAGCCCTTGAGTCCTCTAAATTGCCTTGGATGGGAGCCTGAACTGATTTACAGCAGACATTGGGACCAGAATGGGGACCATAAAAATGTCTATGATCAGCTCTCCCTCCAGCCATGTGAGTGGAGCTCAGTTATAACTGAGGATTCAGTGTTCCATCACTGCAATTAACTGTTATTATGAACAACTTGTGCAGTACTGAGTGGATCAGATTAAGCAGAACTTAACTATGGAGTGTGTCCCATTTGTAACATTCTCTTCTAATTGTAACCAGTACATGGAGGAGTTATAATCTAAGTACTAAAGGCCAGATTCTGCTACATGCATTTAGTTGAATAATGTCTCATGCCATCAATCAAGTCAGTGAAATTACCCATGCAGCACAGTGCTACTAAATGCAAATAGTGTTGGTAGAATCTGAAAATTATCTCTATATGAAAACCAGTTTAATTAGTGACATTAAAATAGATGTGTGAATAGTGATTACTTGTTACCTATTTTTAATCCTGATATAGATAATTAAATGTCCAACATGTGACATGAGACAAACAGCTTTTGTTATTAATGGGAGGGATCCATATCAACATATTCTCCCATTACAATTATTAAAACATTGCAATGGAATTCAGAAATAATGTTTTAAGGGTATTCAGATTTATTCATCTTCATATATCAGCTCGATCAGATTTCCTCTCCAGACACTGGAGATTCATCCTGATTTTTTTCCCAAATTTGCTACCTTTTTCTATTTTCCCCAATCTATGTGATTAGAAGGAACAAGGGTTAATTTCCTAAAATCCTCATTTCTGAAGGGATATATTGTAACTTCAGCAAACAAGAGTTCTAATGAGTTTCCTTATGTTCACACAGAGCAAAGAACAGAGAGGAAAAAGCTAACATAAAGCTGGGGACAAGAAGAGATAATCCTATAGTCCCCATTTGCCAACACCATTAAAAATCATGACCTACACAAATGTGTAAATATAGCACCTAGTTTTAATATGAAGTACTGCAGAATATCCAAAATTCTTTCCCCTGTTGAATATTTCTTGTTTTTTTTGGAGGGGGAGGGGAAGGAACACCTGATATTTCACCTACGGTACATCTAGACTGCTGGGTTTTTCTGGGATACCTCTCTGCTGCGTCCAGGAAACGTATTTGCTCTTCTGCTTTTTTTTTTTTTTTTTGCAGAAGAGCAAACGCTCTATTTCAGGGAGCCCTGTATACCTTGCTCTGAGTAATAAGAGCTCCTCCGAAAGAGGAGGCTTTTCCGCCATTTGGCCCCATCTAGATAGGGCCAAAAGGTGGAAAAGCCTCTTCTGGAAAAGCAATCGGAAAAAGCTACGCAAATTGCAGAGCACAATTAACTTTTTTTCAGAAAAAGCTACACAATAATGTAGACTTAACCCTAGAGTTGATCAAGTGCAAGAACCTTTTTTTAAACTAAGTAGATGCGATCCAGATAGACTGTTTATTAATATATCATACTATTGTGTAAACTCTGACCTAATTCCATAAATTGCTTGACCTGATTTGTTCTTTTTCCAGACTTCCCCAGTTCTGAGAGACTTCTTGGAACGGATGTTAACACGAGATCCCCTAGAAAGAGCAACAGCACAGGAGCTTCTGGATCACCCCTTTTTGCTTCAGACTGGACTTCCAGAGTGCCTGGTGCCCCTTATTCAACAGTACAGGAAGCGCACCTCCACCTGCTGATTCTGGGCATGAGGAAAAGCCAGTGTCCCAGCACTGGAAATGCAATGTCTATGCTGGAAATACTGGTTGTACTTGACCAAGACCCAAACAGCGTCACTCTGCGAACAATACTTAAAACTTGTCAGTATTTTTTTGAAAGGATGAATGTGAAAATTCCCCTCACAGCCTTTAGCTGCTTCCCTTTTGCTGAAGACAATCAAGTCAGACTGTCTCCCAGTAAGACCCAGTATCTTTCAAGAACAACATAGAGGCATTACATAGCTTCTGGAATCTCATATTTCTCTTACAAGAATGGCATTTTAAAAATATCTGAATTTGTATATTGAAGTGTCTGCAAACTACCAATTGGAACTATATTTCCCAAACAGAAATGTGATCTTTGCTTTTAATATTAGTAGTACACTGGAGTCCTGAGCTGACCTAAAAGACACACATTTTGGGACACCGATGTCCTAAAAAGTCTTATCTTAAACAATGCACAAGGATTTAAACACTTTTTGAGACTTTTTCTCATATTATTTTGTCTTGTCACAAGTGTGGACATTGGGCCTGAGAAAGCTACCTAGAGGACAGATGTGATATGATTCATTGGTTTCCAATTGCCTTCATTCTAAACTGCTTTATTGCTATGGAGAATATATGTGGTTTAAAAAACAAAAAGATGGTCTATCTTGAGTCCATTGCATGATCTTATATGTGTGGAGGGATGACACTCCTAAGTGTCTCTTTGTCTTCTCTACTGCCTGCCACCAGAATCCTGAAGCTGAAGCTTCATAATATGTGATATGTGACACCACTGCCTTCTCCAACATGGACTGAAATGGGAGGTAAAATGGTGCCCTCAATAAGAAGGGTTTAAGAAAACTTATCCTAGGATCTACATCCCCCTGGGTACATTGGATTCATATCAACAAATGCTGCCTTGAAACAGGTGTTGGGTAGCACTTTGTATCCATTGTGAATCCTGTAACAGGCTCAATAAAAAGTTGAAGATGTCCTGTTTATCCCATTGGAAGATGTTTATTTTCTTGGTGAGAATGTTTGGCTTCCACCTCCCAAGTTTGTTACAGTGAAGGGTGTGGTTGTGTGTGGTTTGTTATTGGCATCTCCCCCATCCCGATATATGTACAGGTTTGTTTGTCTAAGGAGCCCCTTCAATCTTTTCTGAAGTAAATTTAGAATTTTTTCATAAGGTCATTGATCAGTCAGATTGTAAAGGTCATTTTGACTCCTAGGTCAGGTTTTAACATGGACACTAATGTGTTTAGAGTCATGCAGATACCTGAAACTTAGTCTTATTTGTGAAACTGGGATCCCATTTTGCAGCCAAATTATGCAGATCATAGAAATTTGGGTTATTTTAGGGCACCCCAGCTGCCTTAAAAACTTCACCTCATTCCTGTATTTTCTTTAGGGGATTATCCTCCTCTTTTCCTCTACCACAGTGGTGAGCAATAAAACAGCAGTAGTTCACCAGGGTTAGCCCCAGTGGACTGCCACCACAATATTTGCCTGCACTTCCACAAGTATGGGCGATTGCAGCTTCTGTTGGCTGCAGATTGCCCTTCCTGGTCCATGGGAGCTGTGGGAAGCAGCACCGACTGGGATGCTGCTTCCTGGAGCTCCCAGTGGCAGGGAAGGGCGATTGGCTACCAACAGGAGCTACAATTTTCTATATCTGCAGAGGTGCAGGTAACTATAGCAGTAGTGGCTTGCTGGGGCTAACCCTGGAGAACCGGATCCGGCCCATGGGCTGGTGTTTGCCCACCCCTGGTCTACCACGTGTCCTGTTACAGATCTTGCTTAGACTTTTAGCTGTAATAAATAATTTGAAATCCTCTAGCCAAGTTGGTGAAACTTTGATGCAAAAATTTTCTGTATTTCCAGGTATCCTGCCTTTTTATGCAAAGGAGCAGAGCCTTTTTAAACAGGCTTTTAATTTAAAACACTTTCTATATTTGTGAATTGCTTGCACTTGTTTTAAATTAAAGTAGATCTTGATCTATTCATTAAACAGTTGCACTTTTGAAATCTTTTAAAATGTGCTAGTTTTGAAATGGAAGGGACTGGGTAAGTGTGAGAACCACATGTCTGTTCTGATTAATTCACCTATTTTTAGAGGGGATGATTTCATAACTAGAGGGATCACAGCAAGAAAGCTGGACTTGAAAGGAGGACTGACGGTACATAGGTTGGAGAGTTCAAATTCTACAGCAGGTTTTGAGCTTTAGCCCAATAGTGACTAAGAAAGGGACACTGAACTCTTAATAGGGCCACATTTTGATGGTATGTGAAATCAAAACACCTGTTGCACTATTTGAAAAGACAAATTACAGTTTCCTCTTTAAAACACACAAAAGCACAAGTTCTAATGCCCAAGGCACTGTGATAATCTGATTTGTGTTTATCTACACAATTCTTGCAGGTATCCATTACATCCATTGCTTTGTAAAGTAGGTGAGATACTATGAATATTAACACTATATAAATATCAAAATTCTATTCCACAGCTAAAACTTAAAATCATAGTCTCTGGGTGCAATACCAACTTTCCCAGGAATTAGGCTGCCAAGCCTCTCACAGGATTAGCATTGATTTATTAAATTCGTATTGCAGAAGCATTTACATGTTCTAGTTTTACTTTATATAACATTCAGTACCTTAGACTGTAAGCTGTTCAGGATATGGACCATATGTTAACTTAGCCATTAGAAACAGTTTTATAATGTATGCAGGTAGTGGGGCGACTGTTCCACATTGGTCAGAATGAGTTAATACAAGCTGGAGGGAGTCTGTGCAGAGCCCTGGCCAATGAGAGAGAGGCATTTTGGTAGCCAATTAAGGTGTGGCTTGCTGTGGCAGCCATGCATATAAGCAGCTGCCCAGCAGAAAGCCTCAGTTAGGCATTAACCAAGGATAGGGTTGCCAGGTACCCAGTTTTGAACTGGACAGTCCAGTATTTGAGCTTTCTGTTTGGGAAACAAATTGAGAAAATATAAATGTATTTTCTAAATAAGATATAATGTAGATTATGATGTAATGTCAAGCGTGTCAGGTATTTTTCTTGAAACCGGAACCCCCAAGGTCTGGCAACCCCAAGGAAAGTGCAGGACCTGGTTCTTGGGGGAGCAGTGGTGGGCAGGCTAAAGAGGGAAGCTCCTGTCTGAGACCTGCCAGGCTGCTGGCCTTGCCACTAGGGCTGGGAGGGTGCAAAAGGTCACAGGTGAAGTGGCTCAAGGAACAAAGCAGTGGAGTAGAAGAGGGCAGGACAAGGCTGCTGCCAGAGGGTCTCTGGGTTGGGATTCAGAGTAGTGGGTGGGCCTGGGTATCCATTCCCCCCTCCCCCTCCCCTGCACCATATCTTGCTACCAAGGTGAGGCCTATACAAACTGAGGTTTGCCCTTGAGACAGAGAGGCTAGGTTTGGAGGTCACAGTGTGTGTTCGAATCAACATAGGTGCCAGCCGGTGGCAGTTCTCGCAGCCTCAAGGCCAGCTTATTGCCTTAATCGCTCTCTTCTCATATCTATGTTTCAGCTCCTCAGGATCAGATGAGCCAGCATAGACTATGCTGATATTATTGCTCCTTCTCTGCCCTGTGCTTCAGAGAGGCAAATAAGATGGATGATATGGGGTTAGTCTGTCTGGCTACACCGGGTCCTCTGAGGCTTTGCTCCGTGTCTCCCTGGTCTGCTGGGAGGGGGGCCCCAGCAGACCAGGGAGATGCGGAGGACCCGGGCGGCGGGACCGCGGCGCGTCTCGGTCCCACCGCCCGCGTCTCCCTGGTCTGCTGGGGGGGGGGGGCGCGCCAGCTAATGCGCCCCCCCACCAGCAGACCAGGCTTTTCTCCGGACGCCTGTGGTAGAGCAGCTGGGGTGCTGCCGGATTGGTCCAGGGGGGACCTACCCGGCAGCGCCCCAGCTGTTCTGTCCCAGGGTCCCGGCTCCGGCG